TGAGCTGTCTGAGCACATACAGTTAGATAAACATCAGATGGAAAGCGTGAGACAGGGGCCTCATTATTTAGAGCCAGAACCGGCCCATGTCTTTTGAGCACAAGATTTTCATCATTGCTCTATTATTGAATCTGCGAAACATTTGACAATGATGTGCATTTCTGTTCTGGTAATTAGAAGGACATTTTCAAACAAATCTACCGAATTATTTTAGCTGGTTATTTTAACGAAACAATTTCCCCCTAATTAATGTATCCTTTCCCCACTGACGATAGCCAACAATTATGATGTTCATTAAAAATGAAGGGAAACTTGACTGTCGATCAAACACAGAAAGGGATTGTTTGAAAGGCCCTTTATTTGTTGCTGTGACAGCTCAATCACCCATCATGATCTAACCGGGGGGAGGTAAAAACCGCCGACAATGACCCTCAGAGGCTACAGACAGCCCTTCATTTGAGTGCTAATTAGAAAAATTATATCTCTGAAAGGCAGCCTGCTATCTGTTCCCAGTGTGTTGAGAGAGACAAGCTGAAGAGACAACAATGAGTTAATAGGAAAATTAATTATTTACACTATTATCTAGGCCAGGCCATTGAAAGAATGACTCAATAATGCTTTAATTGTGTTGCTGATTACATTTAGATAGACTCGAAAGCTTATCAAAAGCTCTGTTTATTATGTGCTCAGATGAGAGAACATGGATATTGCAGCGGTGCACAGCACAGCTTCAGTACATCTTGTGTGTTTCCCCTTAATATAATGTCAGTGGTGAGCACTTCTGTGGAAGAGGAGAGGTTACAGCAATGGGTTACACCCAGTTATTTTAGAGCAAAAGATGTTTGTGGTGGTTAAAAATTATTATTATTTTTTCTATGAAAAGACATACATGGACCATCAGTCAAAGTATGGGGGTCAGTAATCTATATTTTTAAAGAAATTAATACATTTATTCAGTAATGATGCAATGAATTGATCAAAAGTGGCAGTAAAGACAGTTTTTAAATAAATGCTGTTCTTTTGGAACTTTCTATTCTTCAAAGAATCCTTAAAAAGCGGTGCTAAAAATATTAATCTTTTTTCAACATTAGACAATAAAATGCTTCTTGAGCAGCAAATCAGCATATTTGAATGATTTCCGAAGGATCATGTGACATTGAAGACTGGAGTAATGACTGCTGAAATTCAGCTTTACCATCCCAGGACTAAATTACATTTTAATATATATTAAAATAGAAAACAGTCATTTTAAATGTTAATGTGCTTTTAATGTATTTTTGATCAAATAAATGCAGCCTTGGTGAGCATAAGAGACTTCTTTCCTAACATGAAAAAAATCTAATCTTTTTGTTTAATGTTTAATTTGTGTTTGTGTCGTTAGTAACAAAAAAGAAGGTGAAGAATATTAAATCAAATATAAGCCTCCATATATTTTGGTTTCTCCTTTGTCTAAAAAAAAAAAAAAAAAAAAACTTTTAGAAGACATAAAACAGTCTGTGATATTTTATCAAAATTATAATGATAAGGGAATAACAGAGAAGGAAAAAAAATCTAAATAAATCAACTCTTTTTATTATGGCCGACATATCCAAAAATCTGTTTTCAAATCTACCTCAGCAATGTCAGCAGAAAAGAGCAAAGCTCCTGGAGTCTCATTAATTTGAAATGAAAAAAAAACAACAACAACAACAACCAAAGAACAGAGCAAATACAGGCTCACATGGTGGCACTGTGAAAGAAAAGAGAAATATTAAAACCGATATATATTTCATATGCACAGGTTACTCTAGTGTTTCATATACAGTACAGATTGGTTTTGATGCTCTAAAAACATCTAAAAGAACCTGTACATTGTCAAAACATTTTTTTACGTAGCAAGGGAGAATTTGTCACAAAGACCTACTGTTCTACTGATATTTTAAGGGCAAATGTGCAATCCAGCACCCATTTCATGCACAAATGTGTGTTTAGTAAAGATCCTGTACATATAAACACTGGAATTGTACAGACAAATTTCCATTTTCAAAAAGACATCAGTTCCAGTCTTGTAGTACCATCAACAAGGCAAACAATTTCACATGATGGCTGCCTATTTCCACATTGATGTTAATAATGACAATCTATGCAACTGTACCTACATTTCACATTGTAAAACAACTCCGTCCTCACCTATTCATATGCTGAGATATCAAGTCATATTTACACTGGCTGTAATAACAGCTCTGTGTTACAGGGAAAAAAAAGGCACAATCTCGCTGAATTTAGAGTCTTTCTTTCATTGAACACATTTAAAGTTCAACATGGTATGTTGCCATGAGAAACAAAGTATGTTTAAACTACATAAAAAAACATGATAATTCAGTCATAAAATATATAAAAGCAAATTAAAACAAACCGAGAACAAGTAACAGTACACTGATCCACATGCAGATAAACATTTCATCTTCAATTCTTTATCCTCCCATTTTTAAATGTTTTGGTCCAGCTGTAACTGTAATGACTAGTATTTACATATATTTGTAGATAAAAATATATTATCTGCAATTGCTGAAAAAATGCAAGACTGAACCCCAAGCAGAAGGTTCTGTTTTAAAAATGGCAAACCGAAAAATGTGGAGAATTGTTTCTGACAAGATATATGATGCATTTTTAACCATGTGAAGTACATCCACATCTGTGTTTTTCCAATAAATCCCATAAATAGCCTTATGAAAGTCCAAGAAATAAAGTATTCCTCATTTTACTATATTGAAAAAATGACTTTGTCAGCTTGATAAGAATGTTTAGTAGTCATCTGTACTTTGAAGATGTAAAAACTCCCAAAACACCATCAATCAAAAAAAAAAAAAACTATAACCATATACGCATTAAATAAATCCAATTAACAAAACGTTCTGAAATGTGGCAGCACCTGTATCAAATCCCTATTGCAGAAAGGTGATGGTTGTCTTGAAAAATGACACGAACAAGACCTCAGTCACTTTTAAAGCTCATTAGAGAGCTTTTAAGCTTTCTTCGAAATTATATGTATTGGGGGGATAAAGCTCTTGACAGCTATTTGGCCCCAAGACTCTTCCTTGTGGCACGGACTAGTTTCAGTTGCCCTAAATGCACACATCCAGATGGAGAACAGTCAGGCAGAATGGATGGCGTCCTCCCTCCAGTGTTTCCGACCACAGCATACAGTGTTATGGAGCACCGCTGAGACTCAGGTAGTCTTTGGGTAGATTTTCTCATAGAAAAAGTTCTGTGCCAGTAGGTACAGTTCTCCATCTTTTTCTCTCACCGCGTGAGCCCGAACGTACTGGAACTGCTCTAGTGCAAACTCATAAAACTCATTCTCCATTTTCCAGATGTCTGACTGCTGCAGTCTGGCTATAGCCTCTTTGGTGGGCGGCTTCTTCTCACTCGTTTTCCTTAGGTGCGATTTCTTCCCTTTAGAAACAGACACAAACATTTAACAAAAATATTCACCATCTAATAGACTTGTTAAAACATGCAGTCGTACCTGTCCGATAGAGCTCTGTGGCCCCCTTAAAAAAGCGAGGAAGTGCCGCCTCCAACATCATAACAAAGTCTTCCAACTCCTCCGTCACTCCAACTAACATGTATTCATTCACCAGGTTGTATTTGGCTTGCTCCAAAGCCCATTTGCTGCCAATGTTCCTGTGAAGAAGTGGTTGAGAAAATGTAGCAAGAGTCCTACAAGTGGTAGATCTGAATTACGCATGAAGACAGTGAGCAGCCTACCAGCACTCAGAGTAATGACCACAGAAGAAGGGAATCTGAAGCCACAGTTTCTCTGGAGCACAGTCAGATCCTCCAGCAGCTACACACTCATCAAACGTCTGAAACAAACACAGATCTTGGAGTTGAAAAAAAAAATACAGTTTACATGTTCTGAGTTCAGTATGTAATAAAGAAAATAATTATGGTGGCACAAACTGTGGTTATAGTTATAGATGTAATAGTGTTTTATTACTATTTTTTGTTTTTGTAATGTCATGTCATCTTCATTGACAAACAAAAGTCATACAATTAATTAAGACGTTTAAGATTAATAAAAGACAAAAATTCTAAAGTACATTCGTTTTTTTCTACTTTTTAAAATACATCTGACTCTGAATAAAAACACATTCTAGTAAGATCTAGATTAACAGATCAACAACATCGTACCTAGATTTAAAATGACGGAAAACCCTTTATATACTAGGATTTATTCCATATAAATCAATTCCCTGGCATTGATACCATTCCACCCGCCACTTTTTATTAATATAAGAGTAAATTAAACAAGACCAGTGTTCAGGATGTTAATAGCACAACTTCTATTTGATTTTTTAAATTATTATAAATAATAATAATGTATAATATATTCTATATATTATTTAATATAATTAAATATTCTAAATATATTAAATATATTTATATTCTTATATAAATAAAAATTATTATAAAATTTTATTTGTACTTTTTACATAATAATATATAAATAATTACATTTTTTATAATACATTTTACAAAATAATATTTCAATATAAAAAATATTTAACATTACATTTTCCTATTATTATTATTATTATTATTATTATGTAATGATTTTTACTAACCCTATAACTTTTATTTTGTGAACTTAAACTTGGGTACTTTATAGTCTTGAAATTCATAATAATTAAAAACAGGATCAAAGTAGACGAAACAAACATTTCACCTTTTTGTCCCCTTGCTTTCTGCGTCGCAGACCTGGTCTGTAGTCATCACCGAAACGCAGGAAATAATAGTAAGACACCAGACGCTCAATAGGGTCCCGGATAACATTTATGTAAATAGGCTTTTTCTTCACTCCAAATCTGATAATGAGATGGGAAAGGAAGTGCAATTAGTAATGTATTAGTATAGTAGTATTAACACATGTTTTGAGCATTTAGGCATAATTAAATAGTTGCTTTATGCATGAAGGTAAGGTATAGGGAGACCCACAAAACTGGAAACTAACAATATGATTGTATTGTATAAATTGTATAAAGCTCATTCTGATTGTTTAAAATGAGCTTGCTGCAATTCCTTTCACGGCCACCAGGAGTCAGCAGCATCAAACTGCTTTTTGGGTCATTGGGAATGTAAAACAAAATCCTTTCAATGGATATGAATGAATGAGTGGCTAGTTATGCACAATGTTGGCAAATCATCTTTCAGTGAATGCAAAACCTGAAACCACTCTAAACAGCATTACTCAGGCAAAACACATTGACCACAACAGATTGAAAAAATCTGAACAGAGAAACAAAATGTCAGGAGCACACAATACATACTTGGTGAAGTCCAGAAAGGAAACATGTCCATGGTAGAACGCAGGCTTCATCTCCTTCCATAACGTCACATTCTTTACAAACCGTACCTGAAACACGAATAAATAAATAATAATTAAAAAATTAAATAAATCACTTAAGGATTTGCTCTGAAAAAAAATAAAAAGATGTCAACCTTTTTAGCATTTAATGATAGGAATTTGCCATTTTAAGTCCCCTAAAGCCTCAGGATAATATAAAGCTACCATACTATAACATCTGCTGTAGTGCACTATTAAGGAAATGCTTTGTGTCTTTTAGAGGCTGTGCAATATAACAAAGAGTGAAAAATTTAAGGGGGTCTGAATACTTTCCGTACCCACTGTATATATATAATTTTGCAGTTCTGTATGGAATTTTTTAAAATTGTTTTGAAAGTAATGAATTTTAGAGTTTAGAGAGATATTTCTACTCAATTCAGAATAAAAAGTATCCTACATACCAGCTAATTATTTTATGCAAAATGTTGACTGTTTTGAAATTGCAATTTAGTGAATTCCTCTTCCTGTCATTTGAATTCAAATTCCAATTCAACATCCTGTGAGCCTATTCATTACAATTTCTCATCAATTTTTGAAATTCAGAATTTTGACCAAACATGCTATTTTTAAATTACGTTACGTAAATGTTAACAAGAGGCTAAATTACAGTAATGCAAAATACAGACAATGTTTGAAGCGAATTCATGAACAAAATTTACTCTGCAGTTGAAACAGAAAAGGTCCTGTGGTCTGGTAATACTCGTGAGATCCTGAGACGGAAATCTGACAGTGTACACGATGTGGTGACAGTAGTGTGTAAATGTGAGCAGGCGCTCGGACAGCTGCTATTGTGAGGTGATGATGTCAAGCCAACCACAGCACATTCCCACTCAACTCTGACTGCTCTCAAGTCAAAGAGCCCAGTCTCCAACCATCATATGTGGACAACTGCTATCACTCATGAAATCTGGTGCTACGCCACATTATGGTGTCCCACGGCAACAGAGAATAACTTGTTACTGTTGCAAAAAGCATTTTGACATTTTAAAGGAATAGTTCAGGGGTGGCGAACGTCGGTCCTGGAGAGTCGCAGCCCTGCAGAGTTTTGCGTCAAACCTAATCAAACACACCTGAACAAGCTAATCAAGGTCTGAACGGTTACTAGGAAGCTACAGGCAGGCGTTTTAATTAGGGTTGGAGCTGAACTCTGCAGGGCTGTGGCTCTCCAGGACCGGAGTTTGCCACCCCTGGAATAGTTGTACATTTTCTAAAAATGTTCTCACCCTCAGGCATCCAAAATTGAGATGAGTTTGTTTCTTCATTGGAACAGATTGGAGACGTATTACTTCACAAGACGTTAATTGATGGACTAGAGTCGTGTGGATTACTTGTTGATTATTGAGATGTTTTTAGCAGCTGTTTGGACTCTCATTCTGACGGCAGCCATTCACTGCAGAAGATCCACTGGTGAGCCATTGACGTAATGCTACATTTCTCCAAATCTGTTCAGATGAAGAAACAAACTCACCTACATATCGAATGACCGGAGGGTGAGGAAATTTTCAGCAAATTTTCATTTTTGGGTGAGCTATTCCTTTAAAATTTTGAGAAAGAGAAAACAATATAAAACAATAAAATATCATAATCTACTCTTTGATATTAGTAATCCACCACTAAAAATTGTATGCGATTTATACGTATGTGATGAGCTGTAATGGGAAATTTTTGACTCTGAGGTAAAAGTGTCGTCTGGGTTTATGGGTAGACGTGCATGTTGCAGACTGTGTCACCATCTCATTACTCCTGCAATACCCAGCCTAATGTAATAATATAATTGCAAGTTAATGAGAAAAACACCCTGACTCATTACCTATTTCCTACTTGATAGGCACACAACTGCTGCATTATGCTGAGTGAAAGCGCTCTTTTAAAAACGGACAGGCAGCAACAAGGTCCTCAGGCTGACTGTGTATAACTGATGCTATGGAAGACTGCTGATATTCACTTCTAATGGCCTTTACAACACTGTGTTTTTTCATAAGAACCTCTTCAGAAGTACAATGACTTATTAAATGTCATAGAATATTCTTGTACCCGGAAAACATTACTTAAATTAATTTCTGCAGTTATTGTGGTGTTTTTCAAGCAATTCACATCGACACGTTTCCTGAGAACAGTAAAAAGAAACAAAACAAGAAATCTAGTCATATAATAAGCATTTATTTATTAATAATTAGGCCAATAACACTATTTTTTTGAGGACCTAAATCAATGACGTTATTCAAAAACATGAAAAAAAAAAACCACTTGAATACACCTCTACTAAGACAAGCATGTTTTAAAGGGGTGGTTGACTGTTTTTTTTTCTAGGCTTGATTGTGTTTATGGGGTGCAGTCTAACGTGTTAATGCTTCGTTTTAAAAAAACGCATTATTTTTCACATAATTTACCTTTATTCTACACTGCTCTGTCCATTCTCCCATAAACACGCTGATCATTTCCTGCTTTTATGAAGCCCCTCCCTCAGAAATACATGATGGGCTCTGATTGATTAGCTGGCCCAGTGTGTTGTGATTGGCTAAACTGCCTCTAGCGTGCGTCTAATCGTCCCGCCCCTCAACATAGCGGCATGTGCTCCGGTTGTATTGTAAACAATGACGTCGTCTATATTGCTTATCAATTTGAGCCCGATTGAGAAGCAGAGGATATTAGTGAAGAGGATC